AGCCTCATGTGGCCTACTGCACCATGAGCAATAACGTCCTTTGTCTCTGATCTAGGAATCTCATGTTTTCTGCTAGCATCTTTGGAGCTGTGGCAGGCTAACTTGTTAACTTGCAAGCAGGTAGAATCTCAGACCCTTTACACATTTTGATGCCATACTCATGTCATTTCTGAACGTCCAGGGCATCTACCTTCCTCAAGCCTCACTGATATTTCAAATTTGTCCATCAGGAGCTGTTGATCTAAATGTTTGGGTCAAAATGTTGATTTTTTTCTTTAATTGTTAATATTATTTAATCCACGTAGACAGTATGAATAAAACATTATTAAAAGCAAGAAACCTTAGTTTTAGTGAAACAGTTACAATATCTTTATGGTGAGTATGTTTTATATAGTGGTCTCTTCTGGTTTCTGTTGAGTTCTAGTTCTTAGCAGAAGAGACTTGAACTGGTATATAAAAGTAGGCAGGGGCCGGCCCCGTGGCCCAGTGGTTAAATTCATGCACTCTGCTTTGGCAGCCCAGGGTTTCGCCGGTTCAGATCCTGGGCACGGATCTACCATAACTTGTCAGGCCATACTGAGGCAGTGTCCCACACAGCACAACTTGAAGGACCTGCAACTAGAATATACAACTATGCACTTGGGGGCTTTGGGGAGAAGAAAAAGAAAAAAGAAAAAAGAAAAAAGATTAGCAACAGATGTTAGCTTAGGTGCCAATCTTTAAAAAAAAGTAATTAACAAGTCCCACTAGGGAAAGTATCTGAGTAGAGTCTGTCACAATTGTTAATGAATTCTGCCCATTTATAAATAGGCGAGAGGGCAGGCAAAGAGGGGACGGGCTACTGGGTTGACCCTCAGCAGGTACACAAACATACGAATGTACCTAGTTGTGTATGACTGCATTCATTGTATTATAGGTATCAGTTGTTTATGGCTGGCATCACCTCTGACTGGTCATGTATCCATACTGTCATTTGCTTCTGCTACCACAGTACATTTTTCATTGTTCTGGGTAGGACATATGTTAGATATACATAATATTAGGATTGCTTGCAACAATATTTTATCAAAACAAACTCTTTCAGTGTATTGAGAAACAAGAAGAAATCAAAAAACTGGCAAAAGATCCTGGGGAGAATGGGCAACCAAGAACAATCAGAAGAGTTTCTGTTAAAGGGAAACTATTACTTATTATGAAATTAAAGTTGTAGATAGTAGACTCAAAATAATTAAAAAGCTGCTAAATTATACCAATATTAGAATGGTATAATTGATAGGTGGATATATAGAAAAATGTAAGAAGAGGAGACTAGTAGATTAAAAGAAAATATTTCTTTTCCTTCTCTGTTCCAAACTGATAATTTCTACTATTCACAGACTCAAAGAATAAAATTATCTTAAGCATAGAAATAACAATTAAAAGGTGCAAGCTACATGCTAGGCAAAGATAAATGTTATTCACAGAATTCTTTGAGAAAGTTATTACGAACTTCTATTTGCAAATGAAGATTGGTGCCTCACAGAGATTGACTAAGTTCAAAAGAGCCAACAAGGGGCAGAGTACAAGTTTGAACTCAGATTTCTCTGATTCCAAAGCCTCATAAGTTAGGCCATTTTTAGTGCAAAGATCCATAGAGTCGCGAAGATTTAGAGATGACAGGCAAAGTACTCAGCACAATGTCAGACACATAATAAATAACTGAATGCTATTATTATTGACAATAATTTTAAAAAGCTGAAAAAATGTCAGCCGGATTTAGAAGTCAGGTTTTGTTTTAACACAAGAAGTTCAATTCACTAAATCAGCAAACATTTTTCAAATGCTTGTTCCCACTCAGATACTGGAATGTTGTGTCCTGAGTGAAGAAAACCCAGTCCTCACCCTCAGGGGGCTTACAGTTCAGTTAGAGACAAGCATGTGGATCAGCAATTTCAAGGCCATATTTTAAGGGAAGTTTTGGTGAAGTTAGTATGAGTGATGAGTAGGGACCTAGAAGATACATCTTCCTCGTATAGATGATTTTAAGACCAAGAAATTTTTCCTAATTTTCATTTTAGTTAGACATGCTTACTTCAGAAGAGTTGGTTGGTTCCTACATATGGCAGCTTGTTCCACAGAAGTCTCTGCTTGCTGGGTAGGTTACGGTCTCTAGGAGTTTTGCAGATTTAACAACAGGGAACAGCAACATGCAGAGGGACCAGCAACATCGGTGCATGTTTGGAGCCCTGTTACCTAACACTACCCAAGTCAGAAGTAACTTCTGTAGCTGCTCTAGGTGCCTCCTCACACTGGGCTCCAGCATGAACCAAATGTGAGATTTTTCTTCTTGAGTTTGTCAAAGTTCAGGAATGAAAGGAAAAGCTAGACTATTATTCCTAAATGGTTATCTGTATATCCAAAGTGAACTAAACAAAAATAACTTCAAGGAATGTACTTCCTGTACAATCAAATTTGAAGCAAAGCAACTTTTGACTTCAAAGACTTCCAAATCCTCTAGGACTAAGTAAACATGTCGTAGGTGAGATGGTTTAAGCTACTTATTATGCTCTGAAGGCACATCCCAAGCTCCCCTGAGCTTCCCTGCCTGTAATGCCCGCACGCAGTTTGCAGCCAACCCAAACACAGAACAAATGCCCCAGAGACCAATGAATTTGAAGAGAATGCTAATTATCACGGGGAAGGAAAGGTTCCAAAGCCACCATTCATCCTTTCTGATTCCTTATAATCTCTCCTAAAAGAGGGATTTGAAAATGAGCACTGCCCTGTCCTTTGTCTACTTTTTGAACTGGAACAACTGCCCGAGTTTGCTAGGGATTGAAACAGCAAGGAACAAAGAAGGGATAAGCAGACCATTAAGTCCTTTATTGCTACAAAAGCCACTCTGGAAAACCCCATCCTTCATGCCTGCAGTGTACCACTGCAAGTTCAGGAAATATAAGCACATAGGTAGACTAAATCTGAGCCACTGTGGATATGCAACGCCAGGCCCATCCTTCCGCAAACAAATAAGTACCAATTCTCCAAACACGTCACCGTCCTGGAGCTGGGGCCAACATTTACTTTGCTTCTGAGGATACCCAAAACTTCTACCAACAAAGAATAACCAAAGAAGGTAAGTCCACAAAGCTTCAAATTGTTAGAGGAAATTGTAATCTCAGAAGTAATTTTCTTCTAACTCTAGAATATCAATGGATGGAAGTCTGTAGAAGTAGCAAAACTGGATACCCAGATAATGCTACTGGCCATTTCATACATCTGACTTTTTTTCCCTCTCTTAAAAAAAAGAAACAAAGTCAGGATTTGTTCCATATGCTTACAGGCAGCAAAAACCATAAATGTCCACTCATTTGTCCTGATATCCTGGAGTAAAGCATTTGCTCTTGCGAGCACGAGGAGAGGCTGAAGGGAACTCTGCGCATTTAGACAGAGAAGATGAATTGTGCCCAAATCAGTGCATATCTGTCACTGCCAATGATTTACATCTCTGAACGTTTGGCTCTTCAAAACAGGTGAGTAGATGAATATTTGTGTTTACCTTAGAGGTTTATACCACAGGATTCCTGAAGGGAAATGGAACAGTGGAAATGAAACCTGATTAATTCTGATGTGAGAGGCACTCCATGCAATGGAAATTAAACCTTGGAGCCTTGGGGATTGCTGGTTTCTTTAGCTCTTGAATAAAATTGGAGGTTGCAGAAGCTTTGTGAAGTGCAGTCTTTAACTTCTATAGGAAAAAGGTTAAACCTTTGTTTCTTTTTTCCTCAACAGTTATTTTTTTTAATAATCTTAGACTTTTCACAGAAATTGTCTTGAAAAGCTTTCATTTCCTTGATAGGTATGGAAATGTGCTCTTTAAAAAAGTAAAATGTTCTCTTCATGCTTGTCTATACAAGAGAAACACACCCCTTCAGGAAAGAACAGGGCGAATTCTCTTTGCATAAAGGAAAGTACCAGCACTGTGGAGAAGACAGCATATGTCCTAGATATTCCTATTAACATTGTGTCCTAGGTACACATATTAACCTTGGTAACCTCGATAATTTAATATTGATAATATAAATATTGGTGTAGTAGAATATACCATCCTGACCATTTCAAGTGATCATGCTATTAGAGCCAGTCTCGTTGTCATTATTATTTGCATTATTGCCATCATTGGTTGTACTGGGAGGGGGAGAAACAGCAGTAGTATTTGGGCACCTATGGTGTCTCAACTCTGTAGGACAGGCACATTATACAAATTACATCTAATCCTCACAATGACTCTGACGTACAGTAGTATTCTCACTTTATAGTTGAGGGTACAGAGTTTAAGCATGGGTCTGAGCTCTTCTTTAAAAGCTCAACTTGAGAAATCAAGCTTCACAAAGAGAAAAAGTCAGGAAAGAGAGAAGTTGGAAGAACTGGAATAAGACTGTTTCCCAAGATGGCACCGCAGCTATATACCTATAAATCTTAAGTATGCAAGCTGTGGAACTGTATTTTTCCAAAACTAAGCTGAATTTTTACTAAAAATATAGAGAAATACTATATCCCGCTAGTGCCAAATACTTAATCTCTGCCCCTTGAGTAGAATTTCACCTAAGAGTTGGGGTACTGAGAAGGCCTAATAGAGAGGGGAAGTGCCTGGGCCCTGGTGGATCATCCGCCCAGTCGGTATTCACTAAGACCTGTCTGTTCCTTTCAGTCTTTGACCGCCGGGCCACACAGGCCAAACTTTAACACACTGGCCTGGGCAGCCAAGGTCTGCTGGCTCTGTGTGTCATGTCCATTCTGCTCTTGTGTGAACATGCATCATCCTTTCTTTTATCCTCATGATGCAGAGGCGCGGTGAGGCTATTTTCGGCCCGCCTCCCCAGCCTCCCCACAGGACAATCCTTCTAAGCTCCACAGTGGGAATCATCCTAGACTCTCACCTCCTCCGAGAGACATGGTTAAGGAAAGCCAGTATCACAATGGGTGTGTCGCTGGCCTGGCCGCATCCTCTGTGCACCTGATACAGGTGCAGGACACCAGAAGATGACGAAAACAGTCCTCCTTCCCCCTCAACTCTGCAAAAAAGAAAAATCTCTGCTCTGGCTAGAGCTGGTATAGAATTGAATGAGAGTAAGAATGTATGCATAATGCCTCATACTGACTTGTTCAAGAAAATGACAAAAGGGCATAAAGAGTCTTTAAGGCTAACCAGTCTTGTGCTATACTCTAACAAGCGCCAGCTTTGAGGTCAGAGTTAAGACTGACTCCCGCACTTACCACCTTCTAGCTGCTCTGCCTAAGAAAAGTTTCTCTATCTCTTGATAATTCAGTGTCTTCATTTACAAAGGGACATAATAACAACTTCACTACAAGAGCTTCATAAAGATTTAATGTTAACTAAACCAAAAGCTGTTACACAGCTTTCAGATCTCGGCGCTTTCATACACCATTTGCAGGGCTTTAGGCATAATAACTCATTTAATCCTCACCCTAACCACATGAATAGATGTTATTATTATGCCCACTTTACAGTAACCACAGTACAGAAATATGAAGGAATTTGTCCAAGGTCACATGATTATTAAGTGGTAAAGCAGGGACTTTCCCTCAGCGAGTTTTGTGCCAGACTCCTTATTTCTACCCACTCCACTGTATCGCCACTCCACTTAGACTCAAAGTGGGCTGCCATATAACTAATTGTCCAAATCAGGATGCTTTTGAAAAAGTGGCACTAAAATAATGACACTGGGATAAGATGTATAAATATAGATTCTCCCAGAGAAACTAGAACATAAGAAATCTTAATGATAATGTGCCCCTCAATACTTCACATAGGGCCTTAACCTCCAAAAAAGAAAAATATTAATCTAACATGACCTAGAACACAAGCCACACTTGTATTTGTTGTGGAAGCATAAACATGGCAAGGTTCTCATCAAGAGACTAATAAAAACAAAATTAAACCATATCTTTGTGTGAACTGTGTCTAACGACTGTATCAAATTTCTCTTCCACTACCCCCCAACCCACTCCCTGCATCCTGTCCTCTCTCACCACCAACCTATGAAGGGTCTGTCTCAGCATCTTAGCAAATCACACCACTAACCTTCCTATAGAGAAATCGACCCAGGTTCTCCCTTGAAACAAGAGCAACTGGTCAGGCTCCACTGCCAAAGGCCTTCCCACTGGAGACTCTCCTTCATTTCCCCCCTGAAGCATTATTCACCTTCCAACTGGGAAGCTCCTCGCTCTCAGTAATCAGAGGTCTGTGGCAGGTGGGACCAGTAAAGCTACCCAGGGAGAGGCTGAGTGATTCCTTTTGGTCCTCACTGCTGAATTGATATTTTTCCAGGCACAACTCACATTTATTTAAGCTATATTGCAATACTGATGACTCATGGTCTGTCTGGCATTCAAAATAAATCAAGCAACATCAATCAATGCGTGTGTATTGAACACCTATTTTAAGCGCACAGGGAGCCTGACCTTCGTTCTTACACAGCCAATTATTCCCCATTGTGCTGATGAAGGGTTTACTTTTCCCTTCAGGGCCCACTACTCTGTCCTTGCCCTCATTGACCCTCATTTGGGCTGTCTTGACTTCCTGCCCAGATCAACCAGGGCACTTCGAATTTTGATCCAGGCTTACTGGATGTTTGCCACTCTCCCATATCTTGGTGCAAATAGAAAATGGAATGAAAATTTTTCTCTCTGAATCTCTCTCTCCTAGTAATCATTTACAATCCTGAGTCCATGAATGGAGAGTTCAGGGCAATGCTATCTACTCAACACAGATGTATTAGTCATCCACTGCTGCAAAACAAAGTATCCTAAAGCACTAGTGGCTTAACAACAACAAACATTTGTTATCTGACGTAGTTTCTATGGGAAGGAATCTGGGAGCAGCTTAATAGAATTATTCTGGCTCAGGATCTCTCATGAAGTTGCAGTGATGATGTCAAGCAGGGCTTCAGTCTTCTGAAGGCGTGACAGGGCTGGAGAGTCCACTTCCAAGATGGATCACGTGGCGGCTAGAGGCCTCAGTTCCTCATCATGTGACCTTCTTCATAGGGCTGCTTGAATGTTCTCAAGACATGGCAGTTGCTTCCCCTAGAGAAAGTGGTCTAAGAGAAGAAATAAGAAGGAAGCCATAGTGCCTTTTATCACTTTGCCACACACTGTTACTTCCGCTGTATTCCATTCATTATAAGCAAGTTACTAAGTCTAGCCCACATTCAAGAGAGAGGAGAACTATGCTCCATCTCCTGGAGGGAAGAGTATCAAAGAATCATGTACATATTTCAAGATCACCTCAGTAGATATATTAATCAGGGTTTTCCAGAGAAAGAGAACCAATAGGACATCTATCTATCTATCCATCTATCTATCTATTAAAAGGAATTGGCTCACACAATTACGGAGGCTGGCAAGTTCAAAATCGAAAGAGCCAACGTCCCAGTTCTAGTCCAGAGGCCAGAATCTACCATAGAACCAGCAAGAGCTGATGTCCCAGTTTAATGACCATCAGGCAAGAGAATCTCATTTACTCGAGGGAGGGTCAGCCTTGTCCTATTCAGGCCTTTGACTGGATGAGGTCCACCCACACTGTGGAGAGTAACCTGCTTCACTCAAGCCCACTGATTTAAATGTTAATGGCATCAAAAAAATCCTCATATAAACACTAGAATAAAGTTTGCCTAATTAACTGGGTACCCTGTGGCCCAAACTGGTTGACACATAAAATTAACCATCACAGTAGGCACTTGAAAAAGTTTACTAATAATGACATATTTGTATTGTTCCTCTGGAATTTCATTAATTTACTGACCCATTCTCTGGAAAATACTAATAACTCTTGTTTGAATAGAATATTACAATTTGCAAACCACTTCTCAAAAGCTTTAGTAATTTTAAATTTTACAGCATCCATGATGAGAAAACTAAGGTTTAGAGAGGTTAGGTAACTTGTTCAAGGCCTCACGCTAAAATTGGAAGAGCAAAATCAAAAATCAAGGGAGAGGTTCTTTGAGTCCAGATCCATGGCATTTCCCTTCACACAGCCTTTTCAGCAATTGTGTATTCTAATATTTGAGGAGACTTAGATGAGTAGTTTTTCACAGTGTTTATAGCAGTCAAATTCCTTTTGTAAATGAAGTTTGATGGATAATGAAATGTATTGAAAGGATGAGAGTGAATCTGCTGAGGGTGAAGATGGGAGAGGCTGGAGCGGACGACGCTCTGCTGGCTCTGCTACTTTCCCTCCCCTTGGTGACCTTCAGGCATCATCAAGAAGCTGTAGAACCCGGTTTAAAATCCACTGGCCTAGATCATAGCGGCCTCTGTCTTGAGAAGGAGGCTTCGTGGGAGGGGAAAAAAGCCCACTTCTCAAGTCAGGAAGGACTACTGGGTTATCGCTGTTATTTTAGCTTCGGCCATATGAGCACCCAGGTCTGGTGTTCTAGGGGGTCTTTCCAGGAGAAAGAACTCAAGTTTAGATTTGGGAGGGGGAGGCAGAGTATCAGATTGCGATTTAGCTTGGATCACTTATATTCACACCTTTAAATTTGTTCTAAGTTATATTGTTTCTGAAGTTAGACTTTCCCCAGTCTTCTGTGTTGTAAAAAGAGAATTACAAAAAAAAAAAAAAAGGTAGGATGCCAGAGCAAAAAGGTTTGAAAAGGTACTTGGCAAAGTGAATGGGAACATAATTTAGTGTCTGACTACATTACTTTTTATAATTAGAACATTTCATGATTATAAATGGTTGATTATAAAACCTCAGCCAGCTTGTCAGCCACCTTCAAAAGCTCTAAAAAGAATACTTTTTAATCTTGAAAAAAGCCCCAGCTCCACAATAAAGTAAGAGAAAATAACACTCCCATGTCCCAAATGAGAAAAGAACAGTGGTCGCTGAAGAGTCAGGCTAAAATCAACGCGCTCGGCTCCTAACTGAATGCTACAGCTGTGGGGTTGCACTCCATGCTCCTTTTCTGTAACTTCTTCCACTCACCGAATGACACCATGTCTCTGCAAGTCTTTCAAAGCATCAACAACTCCCTATCGCCTGCAGGATAACGTTTCCACTCCCAATCCGGCACATTAGACCCATCAAAATATACCATAGCTCTGTGTACTCGCGTCTTTCAATTCAATTAAAACAAATCTGACAAATATTAGTTGAGAATTGATAGGTTCTGTACTAGTTGAGAAATTATAAGTAAAAAAGGTCCCACTTTGAGAAGCTCTCAGCTTAACAGGACAGACTAACAAATACACAGGTCACAGATACACTGTGACACATGCAATACCAGGCCCAACACAAGGGACAGAGAAGGGAATGATAAAGTTGGAGACTTCTCAATATAACCATCTTGTGCTAGCTGTTGAGAAGCAAACTGATTTTTTTTTTTATACAAATAGAAAAGTTAGCCAAGTGGAGGACAGGGCAGTGGGGTGACAGGTGGAGGGAGAGAGAGTGACTTCTGGGTACAACAATAGCTTCTCTAAAGCTTTATAGAGAGACTGCTGGAGATTTTCATCCTCAGCAGCCTCTAGGGCAGCTGCAGCAGCCTCAGTGGGAGAGGAGGCTCCTAGCTTCCGGCTCAGGGGCAGCAGCGCCATGCTAGCACTAGCAGGCCATTTGCAGCCCCCCCACCCCCCCGCCCAATGGCTACTGAGCTCCTAGCCTTCAGCTCAAGAAGGCAGCAGCACCCAATTTTGAGTAACCACTTACTTTTCTCTTTTGCTATTTTGATCCTTTCAATACGTTTTATTTTCTTTTTTTCTCAGTTTATTGAAATATAACTGACATATAACATTGTATTAGTCCAAAGTGTACATGATTTGATATATGTACATATTGCAAAATGTATCACCACAATAAGTTTAGTTGACAGCAATCACCTCCCATACTTACAAATTTTTTTCTTGTGATGAGAACTTTCAAGATCTACTCTCTCAGCAATTTGCAAATATTCATTACGTATTGCTAACTGGAGTCACCATGCTGTACTTTACATCCCCAGGACTTATTGGCCTTATAACTGGAAGTTTGTACCTTTTGACCACCTTCACTCATTTCACCCACTCCCCTGCCCCCCACCTCTGGACACCACCAATCTGTTCTCTGTATCTATGATTTAGGTTTGTTCAGATTCTACATACAAGTGAGATCATACAATATTTGTCTTCTCTATTTGACTTATTTCATTTAGCATAATGCCCTCAAGGTCCATCCATGTTGTTGCAAATGGCAGAATTTCCTTCTTTTTTATGGCTGAATAATATTACATTGTATATATATGTACCATATTTCCTTTATCCATTCAGCCAAAGATGCACACTTAGATTGTTTTCACATCTTGGCTACTGTAAATAATGTTACAATGAATGTCCAATATGTTTTTAATGTATTTCCTGTGTTCAATTCTCTCTGCTTGAAATGCCTAGAAAAACTCATATTATCCTGATTGGACACTGACTAATACAAGGTCCTAGCTCAGTGTTAGTGCTGAATAATGAAAGAATTTATAGATGAAAAATAAATAGACGGAGAGATAAATGATGAATTAATGAGGATGCACTTATTGTAAAATTAAGACCTAGTTTTGGCAAAGAAGCCATGCATTTACAGTGACATCGTGAGGTTGAAGAACAGTGTCATCAAGGAATGGAGAATTTCCTAAGATTCTTAAACAGAAAAAGGAATGACCACAGCTTCATTGTAAGCATACTAGCTACACTGAAGATTTTATAATCATTCTCCAAGAAATAAGAGAGAAAACTTGTTATCAGTTTGGATTTGGATATTATGAATTACAAAGTGCATTCTATTTCCTGTTGAAAAATGAAAGCACCAATGGAAAGGTTTTATACTTTTCTTTATAAGCTTCCCTAATCCCTAGGTTTACTTTCATTGTGCTTTCATACAGCCTTTGGAGGTCAAATCAGAGTTATCTGCAAACAGTTTTCATTTTCAATGAGGCCATAAAATGTACAGAAAATCATGTATTGACTATAGAGCATCTGAGGCAGTTAGGACTAAAGCGAATAGAGTATACTTTTCTTTTGCGAGGGGACAATTTTGTCAGTAAGCTCTGGCAGGCAAAGATCAGACAGGGGAATTAGAGGGACAGTTTGATTTCTTAGGAGATCAATGAATATGACAGGTTAATAGATGGCACACAGCTGGTGTCAGGTTCAGAAGAAGTGATGACAAGGGACAAAGGGGAGGACAAGATGAGCATTTATATAACCAGAGTCCAGTTCTGTGTGGAAAATCAGAATGCCTTGGGGAAGACAAGAGTTAGTGGTTATCTTTCCTGGGATAAGCAAAGCAATCAAAACATCTTAGACATTCAAAGGGTCCCCTAGGAACCCGGCCACGTCCTCCTCAAGGCCACAGAGACATTTCTGAACAGCATCTATGCAGTGAAAACATCAGCCACAGTTTCTGGATTAGTCTCCCCTGTGTGAGACGCTCTTCTAGGGAAGACAGGAAGGTGTTCCCACCTGGTGAAGGTCAGAAGCAGGGAAACATTTTTCCTTGTGACCATTCCCACCTAAGGGATGTAGTGTAGCTCAGCAGGAAGAAAATGGTCTTAGATTAAACACACTTGCATTGAAATCCAGTCTCTACCATTTATTTACCAGGCAAGTAATTCAGCCTCGATTATCCTCAATTTCCTTGGCCATAAAATGAGAATAATAATACCTACATCCAACGATCATTGAAGGGTTTAAAATGATGATGATGATGATGATGATGAAGAAGAAAATGACACAAGCAAACATTTGTGTAAAATTTGCTAGCAGACACTGTGCTGAGTGCTTTACACATGTCAAGTCAAATACATATTTAAGATGTATGTGTTTATCAAGTGCCTGTATAATACCTTGAACACTGAGAGTGTCTAATAAATGGTAACTGTCTTGCTGATATTTGGTGCTGGTAATGGTGGTGCTGTTATCATGCCTTCCCCTTGAGATCCAACCGCTAAGGCCACTAGTGTTTGAACTGAGTATGCTGTCTCAGGTTCACGTTTACATGACTTAACATCAATAGGAATTCTTATCTGAGGACAGTGCGATCTAAGCAGAATTTTAGCCCAGCCGCAAGAAAGCA